GCCAAGTTATTCAGCAGAATCTCAGTCCCAGGAAGGAGAAGTGACCCACCCAAGGTCACAAAGCTGGCTGGAGAGAAAACTGGGACTAGAACTTTAGTCTCATGGCTCTAGGACTACAGTATAGCCATAATTATGGACCACATTTGCCTATAATTATAATAATAAATTCTGGCCAGGGTTCAGGAAGACAGAAAGAGAGCTGAAGAGAAAACTTCTGTCATCTTAGAGAACGAATATATCATTAGGAACAGAATATTAGTAGAAATATGAATATTAAGAGCTATTCCAGTGAGGTCTGTGATGGAAATGAGGAACATGTTATTGGAAACTGGAGGAAAGGTGATTTTTGTGTAGGGGCTGAGGGAAAACTTCCCCTTTGCCTTCTGAAGTTTCACTGAAAAATCAACTCACAAAAGGCAAATTAACCAGAGACAATGCATACAAATTTGTTAGCACGCATGGGAGAGAATCACAGAGTGATTGCCCAATAGCCCACTGGGGTACGGATGTTTATATACTCCACTTCTTAGGGGAAAGGGAGATAGGGAAGTGCGGATGATTTGGGGGCAATAGTAAATGATTTCTAGGGGAATTCAGTGGGCTTGAGGAACATACAATGGCCTCAGACAGAGTCTTCTGGCCCACAGAGCGGAAGATGGTTTGCAACAAAAGTCTGTCGAGGTGTGTTGACAAACTTCAGTCTTCCCACAACATGAATGCAGTTAATGAAAACACAGAGAAGGCACCCAAGACAGTTGTCTTCTTTGGCAGGTCCGGACTTTAGGCAGATAAGGGAAATTCAGAGAACAATTTCATCCCATGCTTTGGGAGAGACAAAGGATTGACAGACAGGAGCATGCAAGGAAAGTTCAGAGAGAACATGAGACTTCTCCAGTTCAACGTGTCAAAAGTGCCGTATTTTGCGGTATTGGTTTCTGAACTCCAATACCAGTTATAACATGGCAAAGGACTCAGCTGAATTGCTGTGATATTACGATATCTATATATATCGGTTTTCTCCATGGTTCCTGGCTCATAATTCCCATAGCCCTTGCTATGGTCTTTTGTTACGATGTTAGGGCACTTTAGGCTTCAGAAACAGGTGTCAGGAAACAGAATCTGAACTCCTGCGCTCCTTTCACCTGCCTGCAGCAGGACTGTAATCTCACTGTGGGAAACAGACTCTCATTGCAGAGAGGGTCCTGCCCTATACTCTTTATTTTTTACTTTGAAAATATGGACTGCTTTATGAATTTTCATGTCATCCTTGCACAGGGGCCAGGCTAATCTATATCTTTCCCATGTAATAGACATAGTGCTGAAGCAAGCCACCCCATACTCTTGAGGAAGGAAGGTTGCACAGAGAGGCTGAGAAGAATCTGGAGAGACAGACCTCGCTGGGTTTATGTAAGCAAGTGCTTCCCTGAGTTCTGTGAGCTGCTCTAGTAAATTAATTGAACCCAGCGGCATCCTGGCAACCCCAACTGGAAGCCAGTCAGTCAGAAGTTCTGAGGGCCTAGACTTCTGTCTGGTATCTGAAGGCGGTCCAGTCTTGGAAACTGAGCCTTCAACCTGTGGGATTTGCTGCTATCTATAGGTGGACAGTGTCCGAATCGATTGCTGCTTGGTGTGTAGGGTAAGCCCCTGCATCTTTGATCACAGAAGTCTTCTCTGTTGATTGTTGTTTTGAGTGAGAGAAGAGGAAAAAGCACTTTGAGTCTGTGTTTTCTCCACCACCAACTGTGTTCCAGTGTTTTGTGGAAAGTAGAAAATGCAAGCGATGAACTCAGATATTCAGCTGCAGAGATTTTCAAAGTGTTGAAGATGTGGCCTGGCTTCTCGGTACTTATGTAAAATGTGAGGGAAGGAGATAAATGGAAGGATTTGCTAAGCAAAAAGGAAACAGAACTTGAAGATTTGGCAAATTATCAGCCTGTTCATATTGGAAAAAATAAAAAAAGGATTTCTGGAGAGGACACTAAGGGTATGGCTGGACAATAACCCATGGAGCTAATCAGCCATCTCATTAGAAGCCAGGAATAGAGATTTTTTTTTTTTTTTAAATCAGCAAAGACATTACCAGTTTAGACCAAAAAGAATATAGGACGAAACAAAGGAAGGCTTTCAGAATTCTGTTCTGTAGGACCAGACAATACAGCTTGCTTCATCCTTTAAGAAAAGTGATTCACAGATCATCAGGGTTGCCACTCCCACCATAGCGGGCTGTTGGGGAGGCAGGGAGTGAAAGGGTGGTCTCCTTAAGCAGGCCAGGCTGCCCCTGCCCAGTGCCTTGGGGTGGGGGACTGTGGCAAAGAGCTGTGGTGCTGGCCACTGCCTAGGGCTGGAGAGCAGCATTGCTGAGCCAGTGGGCCTGGAGGGTGGAAGACCCAACCAAGAGGATTATTATAGAGCTTTCAGATCTGGATAGAATTTGCCTTGCTGGGTTTTGCACTTTTGGGGATCTGCCACCTTGTTCTTCTTTTCAGTGTCTCCCTTTTGGAACTGGCAATTCTGTCCATTCCAAACACAATGTCCTACCACATTGTGTTTGAAAGCTGAGAAGAATTTTGCCTCAGGATGAACCCAAACTTCAAGTCTTAGCCATATCTAACAGAGATGAAATTTAGATGACACTTCAGAGTTAGAATTGATGCTAGAATGAGTGAAGATGTTTGGGCTACTGGGATGGGGTGAATGTATTCTGCATGTGAGAAATGTGAAAGGAAAATAAATCTTAGGACCCCCAAATCACTAAGCCAAGGGAAAAGTCAAGCTGGGAACAATGTCGGGCAAACCTGCCTCCCATTTTATTCTTTTCTTTTCTTTTTTGAAATGGAGTCTCACTCTGTTGCTCAGGCTGGAGTGCAGTGGTGTACTCTCGGCTCACTGCAATCTCCACTTCCCAGGTTCAAGCGAGTCTCCTGCCTCAGCCTCCGCAGCAGCTGGGATTACAGGTGTGCCACCACATCTGGCTAATTTTCTTTTGTATTTTTAGTAGAGACAGGGTTTCGCCACATTGGTCAGGCTGGTCTGGAACTCCTAACCTCAGGTGATCCGCCCGCCTCTGCCTCCCAAAGTCCTGGAATTACAGGCATAAGCCACCGTGCCTGGCCACCATTTTATTCTTAAATGCGATAGCTACAGAGATAAACAGCTACATACCTTCCTCATAATTTTCACACAAGGAAATTCCTTGTGGACAAAGGACAGACAGAACTTAAAGTCATCCCTCTAAGGCTCACTGGAGACAAATGCATATCCGATTGCTTCTTCTGCCCTATTATTTATGTAAAAATGCAGCTTTACTGAGTTAGACTAAATTGTGTATTCAGTGGAAGGTTGATCAAGGACTCAAAAGAATTCAACATTTTTTGTTTCTTATCTACTTATAACCTGGAAACACTGCCCCTCCTGCCACTTTGAGTTGTCCCACCTTACTGGATGGAACCAACGTACGTCCTACAGATATTGACTGATGTCTCATGTCTCCCCAAAACTTATAAAAACAAGCTGTACCCCAACTACCCTGGGCACATGTTGGGACCTCCTAAGGCTGTGTCATGAGCACATCCTTAACCTTGGCAAAATCAACCTTCTAAATGGACTGAGTCCTGTCTCAGATATTTTGGGTTCACAGAAGGGTACGAATTTTGTGGCAGCTGGAGAAGACTAATGGAATCCTGAACCACATTAATGGCTAGAACCACATCTTTTATTTCCTTCATGTGTGCCCATGAGTAGGGTTTGATAGACCTACCGACCCATCATCTCCAGGAGTGCCTCGCCCTCTCCAACACACAGCACCTTCTCTTTAGTCAACATGGGTTTGACTGAAGAGACTCAGAAAAAGAAACAGATGGATGAGGTTTGAGGCTGGGTTTCTAGAACTAGGCTTTGCTGAAACTTGCTAAGGGATCTTAGGCAAATCATTTATCTCTCATTATCAGTTTATCCACCTGGAAAATAAGGTGTGTTGCATCAGGCTCTGGCGTTACACAGACTTGGGTTTGAATCCAGGTGCCGACATTAGCTGTGTAACCTTGGGCAAGTGGTTTAGCCTCTTAAGGTTGATTTCCTCATCTCTAAAACAGGGATAGTACTAGTACCTACCCCATTGGGCTAATTAAAAGAGATAATGTATGCAGAGTCCCTGGTTAATAATAAGTTCTTTTCTTCGATTAATTAAATAAGTTACTATGTGTAAAGTGCTGAAGACAGTGTCTGACATTTAGCGCTTTATCAGTCTTAGCTGTTATGATTTTCTTATTCTAGCACATAGAAAGACCTCAATAAGTAACAGTAGTTATTATTTTTTGTCTCATCTCCCTGTGTTTCCCTCCAAAACCCTAACCATCCCCAGTTCTGGTTTTCTCCCCCCATACAGCCTAAGAGCTTTCAAGTCCCAGTGCGATTGTCTGGGCTGTTTCCTCCGCCTGATGTTCCATTTCTCCCCTCCCCATCTCAGATGTCTCTCCTCTGGGATTCCTCTGGTCTTCACCACTCCCTCCTCCCAGGCAGATGGAAGGGCTCTTCGATTTGTGTCCTATCCAAAAAAAAAAAAAAAAAAAAAAAAAAAAAAAAAAGTCCATATAGCGCTTAGCTCTTTGTGCCTGATGGTTGGGTTAACTCTTTCTGAGCCTGCCAAAGTGAGTGGCGGCCTCTGGGGGACGGCGCTGGGTGAGTCGCCTCTGGGTATCACCCAAGGCGTCTGGCACAGTGTGGGACAGTAAACCGGCTTCTGTGCGGAGAGGGGTCCAGTTTAACTCCTAGAAGCCCGAGTCCTCGACCCTCCCCGGGCCCCGTCCACCACGAATCCCTCCTCCTTGGGCTCGAATTCTCCCTCCCCTGCGGTCTCCCTCACCTGAGCCAGCCCCGCTCCCCCGAGTCCCGCCAGCTCCTCCCCGGCCCCTCCCTCCAGCCCCCTCCGGGCGGGAGCCTCCCCTCCTCCATCCCCTAGCGGAGCCCCGCGGGGCTGGGGGCGGAGCGTCTGTGCGGAGGGCTGGGAGAGCCGGGTGGGGAGGCGCGGGGCAAGCCGGGGGTTCCAGAAGAGCCGCCGCCGCCGGGCCGGGGGCAGGCATGGCCGAGGGTGTGTGAGCACCGAGCGCGAGGGGCCGCCGCCACCATGCCAGGGGGCGCGGGCGCCGCCCGGCTCTGCTTGCTGGCGCTCGCCCTGCAGCTCCTCCGGCCGCGGGCGGCGCAGGAGCCTGGATGGACAAGTAAGTGGCCAGGCGCGGGGGGATGGAGGCTGTGTGGCCCGGAGATCTGGGTGGCCGGGAGACCTGGGAGTCGACCTGCAGGTCCCGAGCGCCGGGACTGTGACCCCTGCACCTCCTGAAACTCCGCGGGGCCTACGCCCCCGCCGCCCCCAGCCTGGGAGCCCGGGCTTTGTTCCCACGTTGTGCGCCCTGGGAGGTGGCGGAGGTCGGGGCAACCCGGCGCTGCCAGAACACAGCCGGTCCGCTCACTGGCTTGCCTTCCCCTCTCGCCTTCTGCTTCCTCTGTTTTTCTGCTTTTGGCTTCTCTTTCCGCTGTTCTCGGGGCTTATCCTCCTCCGTTTTCTCACGGTCCCTGGTGTCCGCTCCGCCTCTCTCTCTGTCTCTCTCTCTCTCTCCCGCCCGCTGCGCTCGCCTGCGCCCGAGTGCCGAGAGCATCCCGAGCGTCCTGCCCCTGTGGCCTGGGAGCGGCTTCCTGGGACCAGGCTCAGTGCCTGCCACATTGATGGGGTAGGACATAAAATCCCCGCGGGAGGCTGTGGTAGCCTTGGCTGGGGGTGGCTCGCCGAGTATTTCCAGCAGTACACTTCGGAGCCATGAGCTAGCAGGAGCCCTACCGAAGGCCAAGTCCAACACACCCATTTCACAGATAAGGAAACCGAGACCCACAAAAAGGAAAGGACTTGCCCATGGCCACGCCACGGGTTGAGGTCCGCGCTGGCACTGGAAATCAGGGCTCTCTTTCCATGCCGACCCGACGGCCACCTTCTTTGGTCCTCAGTTTCCCTTTCTGTGAAGCGAAGGGTCGGACTCGATGTGTCCAGCTTAGATGCCTGGTGATGTCCATGTTTCTCACAACTAGTTTCCCAGACACCAACCCCTCCCTGACCCCATCCCTCGGGGGCTCTTCGCAGATTTCTCGGAAGGAATGGTCCGGGGGGCGGGGGGCGGTGCCCGGGTTCTGTCATTGTGACCGGAGAAGGCTTAGCCTTGGCTCCACCGCTGCAGAGCGGCTGGGCTGACTCCAGACTGCTGCCTGCGGGACCAACAGTCAGCGTTTTCAAAGAAATCGAGCACTGGCGGGGTGGGGGAGGGCTGGCTGGACCCCTCGAGCCGCCTCAAGCCCGGAGGTTGAGCTCGTCCTACATTTCAGAACTTACAGGGGCCACGGTCCAGCGGTCGTCCGGTGCCAGCAAACAGGAATAGCCCTTTGAGCTATTGTACTGAAGGGGAAACTGAGGCACAGGAGGTTCTAGGGTAGAACGAGGCCTGGGTCAGTGCTTGGTGCAGGAGAAAAGCATGAAGAAAGACCAGGAAAGCAAGTTACTGCCCCTAGCACAGGCGCCTTCTCTGAGCTCTGAGTCCTTGGAGAACTCTCGCTGTAGAATATCTGGGAAAAACGAAAAGTGTAGAAGAAATAAAATGATCTTCAACTCCCAAATCCACAGTTGCTATTGATATTTTTTCCCTCCCCATTGTTTGTGTGTTCTTATGGATATAAATATATATTGATAAAATTGGAACCATACCGTAAGTACAGTTTTGTGTCTTGCATTTTTCACTTCACACCGTGAGCATTTTCCACATCATTAAATTCTACGAAAAACACGATTTTAATGACACTATATAAAGTTTTCAAAAGTTAAACACACAACTCATACCAATGTGGCCAAGATTTATTCAACTCGTTAATGAGGTAGCCAACAGGATAGTAAAGCTGATTCCAGGAGCATTAGAAAGGGGTGATACAGGCATTGGAGAAAGAATGTTGAAATCATGTGGCCCTGGACAGATGCATAAATGGTGGATGCCCATGAAGCAAAACCATAATTCTTGGTTATCATTTCTTTTCTTCTTTTTCCTTTCCTTTCCTTTTTTTTTTTTTTTTTTTTTTTTTTTTTTGCTTTTTCTTCTCTTCTCTTTTCTCTTTTCTTTCTTTCTTTCTTTTTTTTTTTCTTTGAGATAGAGCCTCTGTCTGTTGCTCAGGGTGGAGTGCAGTGGTGTGATGTCGACTCACTGCAATCTCTACCTTCTGCGTTCAAGCGATTCTCCTGCCTCAGCCTCCAGAGAAGCTGGGATTACAAGCACGTGCCATCACACCCGACTAGTTTTTGTATTTTTAGTAGAGACAGGGTTTTACCCTGTTGGCCAAGCTGGTCTCAAACTCCTGATCTCAGGTAATCCACCCACCTCAGTCTCCCAAAGTGCTAGGATTACAGGTGTGAGCCACTGCACTCAGCTGGGTTATCTTTCCACTATGCTGAAATCACTCACCTCTCAGACAGAAATCTATCTATCTATCTAACATAACTTCACAGAGTATAGTCTTTAATCAATGATAAATAAAAAGGCAATGGTACATTCCCCTAGATAATGCGATAATCCGGGCCGGTCGCAGTGGCACACACCTGTAATCTCAGGTGTTCCAGATCAGCCTGGCCAACATTGTGAAACCCTGTCTCTACTAAAAATACAAAAATTAGCTGGGCATGGTGGCTTCTGCCTGTAATTCCAGCAGCTTGGGGGGCAGAGACAGGAGAGTGGCTTGAACCTGGGAGGTGGAGGTTGCAATAAGCTGAGATCATGCCACTGCACTCCAGCTTGGGCAACACAGCAAGACTCCATTTCAAAAAAAAAAAAAAAAAAAAAAGGAAAGAAAAGTTAATGCAATAATCCATGGGCAGATTTGTTAAACAATATTCCAACATGACATTGAGAAGACATCTTGCTTGCTCTTTGCCTTATTTCCAAGTTTTGGAGACTTTTTCTTAACATGTACTGTGTTCCTCTTTCGGTGAGACTTTAGATTGCTTTCATTATTATTTTTTACAACCATAAATATAACACTTAATTCCTTTAAATGTTCTATTAAATATTATAGAATTTCTTTTTGTTTAAAAGAATGTAGACTTATCAGAGCCACCAGGGCAAGGACTATGCTTGTCTTTTTTTTTTTTTTTTCCGAGATGGAGTCTTGCTCTGTCACTCAGGCTGGAGTGCAGTGGTGAAATCTCAGCTGCCCATATTCAAGCAATTCTTGTGCCTCAACCTCCTGAGTAGCTGGGATTACAGGCATGTACCACCACGCCGAGTGAATTTTCGTATTTTTAGTGGAGACGGGGCTTCACTATGTTGGCCAGCCTGTTCTTGAACTTCTGCCCTCAGGTGATCCACCCACCTCGGACCTCCCAAAGTGCTGAGATTACAGGCGTGAGCCACCGTTCCTGGCTGTATGCTTGTCTTGTTCTTCCATGAATATTAAGCACATATTCATAGCATATACTTGGCACATAGTTAAGTACTCAGAAAGTATTTGATAAATATATGAATGCATTGCTTCTAATTCTTACCTTTCTGATGAATTGGTGTTGGTCCAGTGGGATTATTTTTAAAATCCATGTTGATTACAAGTGCATTATATTGATAATCTGAAGGGAATGTTAATAATCACTCATAATCACCATCCTAACAGAACAACTGTGGCCATCTTTGTATTACTCATATTCTGTATGATTGCTGTGGTTAGTTTAGACAGAATAGATTTTGCAGTCCTCAGCCCCATCCCCAGGAGTACTACGGAGACCAGACTGTTTAGGTGCTGGGAAATTGCCGTTTTATTGAGACGGTCTGCAGCCAGTGTTTGAGTTCTCATTTCCCTGAACAAGTCTCTCCTGTAATTTAAATTGTTTTTCTTGCAAAACAGGACTCCTACTTCCTCCATGGTTGCCCTGAATATGAAGGAGAACTGGGTGGTAAGAATGGTTTGGGAAGTAGAAAGTGGAATACAAATGCAAACTTGCTATTAGGAAGCTCCGATTAATGCAACGATGCTCTGCAGCTTACAAGGCAATTTCATTTTGATTCTCCGCAATAAAGCTGTGAGATAGGCAGGTAGGATCGATGTCTCCATTTTACAGGCAAGAAAACTACAGCTCCACAAGAGCAATACTCATGGGCTTGACCTCCAGAATATGCCCAGAATCCCACTGCTTCATTCCTCTTCACTGATGTCATTCTAATCTGAGCCACCATCATCTCTCACCAGGGCTCCTGCATATCTCTAGCCTGGCCTTCTTGCTTCTGCTCTCACTCTCGCCACTCTCCCTCACCCCACCCCCATTCTCCACCATGCAGGCAGAGTGGTCTTTTTTAAACTTAACACAGATCATATTGCTCTGTATTTAAAACACCCAGTGCCTTCCAAGTCTATTTATAAGAAAATACAGACACTCTCCATACCCTCTGCATTATCAGACCCATGGCTGTCTTGCCGACCACATCTCTTACCAACTTCCTCTTTCATTTACTAGCTACCCCTACCTTCTGCTTGTTCCTTCAACAGGACAAGTTCACTTCTGCTCAGCCATTGCACTTTCTGTTTCCTCTACCTGGGGCACTCTTGCCTCGAGTTTTTGCATGGCTGCCTTCTTCTGACCCCTCAGAACTCATATGCGGTCTTTGCTGATCATCCTGTCTGAAATAGGCACCCCCTGCTAGGTGTCTCTTTATCCCATGACCCCAACTGATTTTCTTCAGGGTACTTAGCACCTTCTGAGAACATTTGTTTATCGTCTGTCTCCCACCTCCAGAAGGCAGACTTGTACAGAGATCTTATTTGCCCTGTTTACCACAATACCGCCAACACCTATAGTGCCTGGTTCCTGGTAAGTGCCAACAGCCTGGAATCCAGCAAGTCTTCTAATGACCCAGTGCAGGGACAGCTCACAGAGACTGCTTGTGTGGCTTAGCTGGGGTATAGAAGTCTGGGATTCCAATGGTTTTGCATCTTGTATCGGCAGGAGGAAGTGGGGAAGGCAGCCCCCAGCTGCAGCATGAACTAATAATACCTCAGTGGAAGACTTCAAAAAGCCCCGTGAGAGAAAAGGTAAGACGCAAAAGCTCTCGTTTACATTGGCAGGAGTTGGCCACTAGAGGTTTGGGCTATCTACTCAACTTTCTTGGAATACCAGTCATCACCATTAATTCTATTTCCAGCTCACTCTATCCTCTGGGTGCCCATTTTGGATATCACAGACGGGACTTTCCTTCATTGTATGACAAACTTCTAGAACACTTCCAAATGCTATTAGTTGAGGAAATGAAAATTTACATTAATGCTGACACAAGCTAAGTGCAAATGTGTTGGCGTCACAGGAATCACTTACCCTTGATTGGAATTAATTAAATATTGCCATTGTTATTTTTGCTCTGCATAATGCATGCTTCATTTACTTGACGGAATAATGTACTTGGAGAGAAAAAGGATAATAACATAAACTATTTTAATAAGAGGCAGGGCAGAGACCTAGTACTGGGGAATGTTTCTTAAATCCGGTAGGAGGTTCTCACCAGAACACCAGGAAAATGCGTAGGCTTTATCAAAAAGGTTGGGAAGAAAACAAAAATCACTGTCCTGTTCTTGCAGAGAGGACCAGTGCATCTAGCATATTTGTGGTTCTGGTTTTTGTTTGATTTTTTTTTTTTTTTTGGTCAGAGTCTCACTCTGTCACCCAGGCTGGAGTGCAGTTGCACTATCTCAGCTCACTGCAGCCTTCGCCTCCCAGGTTCAAGCGATTCTCATGCCTCAGCCTCCTAAGTAGCTGAGATTACATGTGTGCACTGTCAAGGCAGGCCAATTTTTGTATTTTTAATAGAGACGGGGTTTCATCATGTGGCCCAGGCTGGTCTTGAACTCTGACCTCGAGTGATCCGCCTGCTTCGGCCCCCTCAAGTGTTGGGATAACAGGCGTCAGCCACTGTGCCCCACTGTGGTTTTGGTTTTTACAGCTCAAGTGAGACCCAGAAGAGCAAGAAAGGAAGTTGTGGGTTGTTGTGTGCCAGTAACCAACAGTGATCTACCACTTGCTAAAGTGTAGATTTTACTTATTTATAAAATAGAGCTTAGAGAGAATAAAGAGAAAAGAAAGCTGGGGAGAGGGGTTGTTTTCTAAGACCTCTTTGGGTTAAAACGATTTGTGATTTATTGGGCAACATATAGGACAAGATGACAGCAGGAAAGAGATATGTCAGGAAAGACTTCTGACGTGGTGGCTGCTAAATTTGGAAAGGTAAATGGAAAGGGTAAATGTCCAGGATCCTTGACGCTCTGGCCAGAGTAATGCAGACATGTCCAAAACGGCTCCAGCTTGGATTTACCAAGGGAACCTAACAGTGTGAATTGTACAACGGGCCAGGTGTGGTGGCTCACGCCTGGAATCCCAGCACTTTGGGAGGCTGAGGCAGGAGGATCATTTGAGGCCAGGAGTGTAACACTAGCCTGGGGCAACATACTCAGATCCTATTTCTGCAAAAAGAAAGAGAGAAAGAGAGAGAGAGAAGAAAGAAAGAGAGAGAGAGAGAGAGAGAGAAAGAAAGAAGGAAATAAAGAAGGAAGGAAATAAAACAAAATTAACCAGGCCTAGTGGTGTGTTTGCAGTCCCAGCTACTCAGGAGGCCGAGGTGGGAGGATCGCCTGATCCCAGGAGTTTGAGGTTCTAGTAAGGTATAATTGCACCACTGTCCTCCAGCCTTAGTGACAGTGCAAGACCTTGTCTCAAAAAAAAAAAAAGGACAAATAAAAACAAGTAACATTTTGTCCTTAAGGCAGTAAATACATGGAATTCATTTCATCAAAAAATAGGAGAGGCTTAAAATAGCTTCAGGAAAATTCTCGGCAAATTAATGGATGGTCATCCTAGAGCAGATTACTTTGAACAATTACAACCTTGGATATTGCAACCTATTCATATTGCCTGAGGAATGGACCTGCTACTTTTTATAGAGGCTTCTTTGTTCTCTCCAGATGTGGATGCCGGGCATCCTCAGGAAGAACCTGAGAACAGAGCAGAGGACAGGGTCCTGTCTTTGTTCCCAACCATTGTCTGCCCAGCATATGGGTCATTGTATTCTGTAGGAATAGTCAGCACAGTGCCTGGCACCATAAATATTTGTCAAATGAACAAATGAATGAATGCCAAAGAGAGAGAGACTAGAGGCTGGATTTCACTTGGGCCTCTGATTCTCATTTATGTAATTAATTCACTCATTAAATGTTTTCTTCTCTTTTTCTCATCATTGACTTAAAGCTCACATTCATTAAACATTAACTGAACACTTACTGTATACTAAATATTGTACTAGATCTTAAAGGGGTTGCAAATATAGGACAGGTTTCCAATGCCCTATGAAGCTAAAAATCTATTTAGACTGAAGGAGAAGGGATTTTTAACCCATCCCCAGGAGAGGTATGAATGGTGGGTCAGCTCCCTGTACTTCTTAGGAGAGTTGACGGTGCCGCCTCTTAGTACAGAGTGGAGTTACATCAGAAAAGCTCATCAGTAGAGCTGGACAGAAAAGCTTTCTAGATTTTAAAATGCTGTTTCATTGTTTTGCTTGAAATGCCCCATGGAAACAGGGAACATCCTTTTTTAAATATCAGTGTCTGAGTACCTTCCAGAATAGAGATTTTGGGTCACCCACATAAAAATAAAGATTACTACTCCTGGCCGGGCATGGTGGCTCATTATAACCCCAGCACTTTGGGAGGCTGAGATGAGTGGATCACCTGAGGTCAGGAGTTCAAGACCAGCCTGGCCAACATGGAGAAACCCCATCTCTACTAGAAATACAAAAATTGGCAAGGCGTAAGGGTGCATACCTGTAATCTCAGCTACTCGGGAGGCTGGGTATGAGAATGGCTTGAACCCAAGAGGCAGAGTTTGCAGTGAGCTGAGATCAGATCACTGCACTCCAGCAAGACTCTCAAAAAAAAAAAAGAAGATGACTACTCCTGCTGCGGCTTGTGTCTCTTTGAGGGAGAGGTGATAATGCTTTGGTTTGGGGCGGTATTCATTTTCTGTGGGGGCTGTCACATGGTCACCTACCTCTTGGATGAGGGAATTGCTATAGTTCTATTGCTATGTAGTCTTTCTTAAATGTCCACTTGGGGCTGGTTCCCTGATACTCTGTGTGATTGGGCAGGGCACTGGCTCAAAAACTCCATGAAGTGGCAAAGGATCCACAACCAGTTTTGGCAGAGCTGAATCAGGGCATGACAGACAGAAGTGAATCTCTTAATGAAAGTTGTTGGTCAATCTCCCCAGCTTCCTACTCCGGTGGGTTTGAAATGCTCCTTCTTGAGATGAGGTAATAAGATTGATTAGGCAATCGTCAGGGATGCCCAAGAGTCCTCGATCAGAATGTTTAGGTCTCATCAGAGCCCTTGGTGACCTCAAGGTGTCAGAAATGCCAAAATCCTAATGCAGAGTGGGGTTTGCAGTGAGGAAGGGGGATGTGCTTAGACGAGGCAGGCCTCTAACCAGAGGTGGCAGAACAGGCGACCTACTTTCTCAGACATTCAAAAACTAAACTTCGAGGTCAACCTTAGAAGGGCTAGAAGCGCTACTCTAGCAATGACTTTTGTGGACTGAAAGGGACTTCAACAATTTATCTGCTGGGTGATGAGGTGGCTCACACCTGTAATACCAACACTTTGGTGGTAGGATCACATGAGCCCAGGAGTTCAAGGTCAGCCTTAGCAACATGGTGATACCCCAATATCTACAAAAAAATTTAAAATGTTAGCCCAGTGTGGTGACATGCACCTGTGGTCCCCCCTACTCAGGGAGCTTGGTGGGGAGGATCGCTTGAGCCTGGGAGGTTGAGGCTGCAGTGAGCCATGACTGTGCCACTGCACTCCAGCCTGCACAACAAAGCAAGACCTTGCCTCAAAAAAAAAAAAAAAGTTGTCAGTTCCTTAGTCCCAAAGTAGAGAGCTTATGTTTAAAACACCCCAAAGAATCTGTCCTATTTTAAATATGTAAATATCTTGTTTTAAATAAATAATTTATTTCTTTGAAAAAAAAAGGTTCAGTAGCCTTTTACGTTGAATTGTTGAAGTATGGAGGTTTATTATGACTTGGTTTTTAAATTTCTTTGAAATTTTCCACAATAATAAGGTAAAAAGAGATTAATAAACGTTCTTTTCTTAAACTATGAAAGCATTTATAAAAATATGGAGAGATGCTAAAAAAAAAAATTAACTCATGATTCCATTGCCTAGAGTAACTGTGGTAACCTTAAGGCTTACTTCTCTCTACATTTTTCCCTTTGCAAAGTGTATTTGAATAGAATGCTCAAGACTAATGATTATTGTATACATTTTCTCAATAATTCAACAGCTACTTAAAGTTGCTGCTTTTAATGATCATCCAGTGTTCTGTCATATGAATGGATCATCATTTATTTAAGTGTTCTCTAACAGGTTATATTTAGGACAGTTAGCTTACATTTCATTATTCATTCCTTTTTTTGTTTTTTTTTGAGACCGAGTCTTGCTCTGTTGCCCACACTGGAGTGCAGTGGTGCGATCTGGGCTCACTGCAACCTCCGCCTCTCGGTTCAAGCGATTCTCTTGCTTCAGCCTCCCAAGTAGCTAGTACTACAGGCATGCACCACCACTCTAAGCTAATTTTTGTATTTTTCTAGAGACGGGGTTTCATCCTGTTGGCCAGGCTGGTCTCGAACTCCTGACCTCAGGTGATCCACCTGCCTAGGCTTCCCAAAGTGCTGGGATTATAAGCATGAGCCACTGTGCCCTGTTGAGTCGAAACAGTTTTAAACTCTCGGTACATACTGTCATTATCTTTCAGAGAGTTGTTGTCAGTTTAAATTCTCAGCGGTAGGGATTGTGAGTGCCCACTTTACGGTGGGCATTGTGCATTGTGATTTAGTTTTAGATAACCTCTGGCACTTTGATTTTTTTCAAGGTAGCTTATTATTTTTAGTTTTATTTTTCTGGAGGTGAGGAGGTGATTTATTAGTAATGTTGTACATATTTTTTGTGCTTATTAGCCACTGGTGTATCTTAAGTGATTCACTCTGGATGTGTAGCACCTGTGGCCACTAGCAAACTGTTTATGTGTAAAATATTATCTACTTTTTGGCCTATGAAACCTTACTTTGAGGAACTCTTAGTTGCTTCCCCTGAGATGATTGGGGTTTTCCAAACTGAGGGCCAAAGTAAAATAAGAACTCACTATGAAGAGGATCCCCAAGTATTTTACAAGATAACAGGCAACATATATCGAGGCTTGCCGTGTGCCAGGCACTGTGATACATTATTTATGCTCAGTATCTCATTCAACCCTTCCAAGATTCCCATCAAATTGACTATTACTATCTCTGTATCATACATGAAGAAACAGATGTGGGGAGGCTCAGCAACGTGACCAGCTTCACACAACTGCAGGTGTCAGCTGGCGCTTGAATCCAGAGCTGACTCTGCAGGACAGTTACTGCTGGAGACTATGTTTTCCAGTGTTGCCCTTCACCACACCACATACGTACACTTACACCACATTGCAGCCTGGAGTTTCTTTCCTATGCCTTTCAGGAGAAAGCAGATGGGGGAAGGATTTGGATGATTCTGGGATTGAGGTTGTTTTACATGTGGGCTGGAAATGCAATTGACCTTTGCTCGTTCACTTCCTGTGGATCAATGTCGGAGCCCTGTGCTGGAGCCTGTGCCTAACCCTGGGCGCCTGGGTGCTGGCTTTTAGGAACTGACATTGTTTTGTTGTTGCTTTTAGCATCCACTCAAAGCTGAGCTCAGGGTAATGGCTGAGGGGCGAGAACTGATCCTGGACCTGGAGAAGAATGAGTAAGTGGACTCCTCCTTTGTCTAAAATGAAACAAATAACTTCCGTGTCAACGCCGGACACAGGTGTCACCGTTCTGGAAGGAAGCCGTTAATGGAATTGACCCCGAGCTCTCAGTCCTTGGTTCCTTTCAAGCAGCATCTTGCAGTCAGAGCCTTTCCACAGCCTCTTGACTTGATGTGAGGTTGCTGGACTGTTAAATGTATTGCTAGAATTCCCTTAGGCAGTGTCTTGGAGGCCCCTGGAGTTCACTGCGGGCACACAGAGGTCTGTGTGTGTGTGAGATTACAGGAGTGGATGGACCGGAGGTCTTTGGCGGCTGCCTTACTAGAGCCAGCCCAGTGCGTGGCAGGAAATGAAGGAGATTAAAGAGGAGCGAGCACAACAGGGTGTGCTGGGGTTTGGCGCCTCAGACTCAGATTGTTCCGTGTGTTCTGGGTCAGCCGCATTTGAGATTTCACCAGTAGGGCATCGTCAGCAGTCTCCTGACTTCATCGGCCCAGCTCTTCATCTTCCTAACCTCATTCATCTCGGGTGGTGGCCTGGCTCAGAGGCATTTCCACATTGATTTGCTATCAGACGCCATCATATCTGGATTCGTGTGATGGAGGAAGTGAATGGACACAATGCATGGCTGTGTCTGTGGCCCACTGTTCGGCCATTCCCCATCTACTTAGCTGTGAAGACTTCTCCTTACTTGGCCGAGGGACTCTGAAACCTTTGGTATTTCCCCACCGACTGTCCCATTTTTCGGTCTGCCCCTTAGACGTCGCAGATAAGGCTGCATGGCTTGGAGAGCTGCCTGTCTCCCCTTGGCAGCCTCCAGAACCCCATGGAAGCCGATGAGTAATCAAATGCATCACTGCCAAGAAAAAGATGAAGAAGGACCTTCCTGTATACAAAAAGATGGGAATGGCTTTTAGGCTTGAGTGGAAAGGGAGAATATAATTTATTCCAAATTTGGGCCTTTTGGGCACTTACAAAGGAGGATGAGTGGCCTGAGTGTGGCTAAAATACAGCTCGCAGCTGTGCAGTGGTGGGGCTTCGTCTGGCTTCTTCCTCTGCCTCCAGGACTTGGTGGTCTCAGGAAGCGAGAATTGTGGGGATCAATGTCATTTTTTGTTTCTCTCCTCTTGAGAGTAAAGCCAGCTTAGGCTGTGTTTCTTCTCTCCTGGGTCCCTAGAACAGACCAGGCCAGCTGCGTTCCCAGACACTGCAGCCCCTGCTGGCCCTGGATTTTTCCTTTCATTGTCTACCTTTGGTCTACAAGAAAAGGCCCTTAGAGGGTCTGTTTTGTTTTTGTCTGTTCTTTTTTTGAGACAATCTCTCTCCATCACACAGGCTGGAGAGCAGTGGTGCAATCTCGGCTCACTGCAACTGCTACCCGCCGGGTTCAAGTGATTCTCCTGCCTCAGCCTCCTAAGTAGCTGGGATTACAGGCGCATACCACCACGCCTGGCTAATTTTTGTATTTTTAGTAGATACGGGGTTTCGTGTTGACCAGGATGGTCTCGATCTCCTCACCTCATGATCCACCTGCCTCTGCCTCCTAAAGTGCTGGGATTACAGGCATAAGCCACCGTGCCTGGCCAAGAGGGTCTGTTCTTGACTGTGTCTCTCGGGGGCCTGCCTTTGTTTCTCATGGACCCAACCCATTAGCTCTAGTCTAACTGTTTCCTGTTGTTGCCTGCGTCTAATTGCTCCTGTTCTGCCCCCAGGAGAGCCTGTGGCCCTTCGACTTCCTTGGTCAGCCCTAGTGACAGTGTTGGTGTGGGAAAATCTTTAGAAGTTGGCTGGCCCAGCAGGAGTCCCAGGACTCAAGTCTCTATCCTTCACTCCTGTTTTGAAACGTTGGCTAGAAACCATAGGAAGTTAAAGTAGGAAGGTGCCTTACAAAACACTGAATGGAATGATCTTAGAAAACACCAAAATTACGGATGCAGAAATTTTGATTCAGAGAGGGATAGGCATTTGTCTGAGGCCACCCAGCAAACAAATGAAAGAGCTGAGACTAGGATCATATGTATTCTTGGTGTGAGTCTAGAGTGACAGAATGTGACCCAGAGCAAATGGCTAAACCTTCTGGAACTTCAGTGTCCTTGTCTGTAAAATGAAGGTAGTGAGGCCAGCCCCGTGGGATGGTTGTGAGAATAAATGAGGTGAGGTGCAGGAAGTGCTTGCAGAGTGGCCAGCCACTGTTGGGATTTTTATTGTTCCACACTGAGGCTCCCGAGGAGAGCTCGTGGCTGTGGCTGTAGCATCTGCTTTTCCAAGAGCAGTTCTCATTTCCCGTTGAGCAACATGGGGCTGGATGTGGTTCCTGGCCTCCTTGAGTTGGCAGAAGGCAGGAGAGTCGGTAAAAATGGAAGCAGCAGAGCCAAGCAATATGACCTCACCAGGTGTCCCTGGGGGACGGCTTCCTGCTATTTTCATCCAAACTGGGCTTTTTGTTTTGAACATGTGTCAGTGAGCGGAACTCCAACTGCACACGACTTCCTAGTGTGTTTATTTCCCAAAGCCTTCTCATTCATGGTGTGTGCGACTCCGGATTCAAAACAGCTTTGGAGTGGGCTGATTTTTCAGATCACCGCGTTGAAGTTTCTGTAATCTCATGATATTTGGGGGGAATGAGGCCGTGGGCCAAGCCATTTCTCAGCCTCTGGTTCTTAACCTCCTTGATCAACTTGTTGATTGTTTTTCATCTGTTGTGCCTCTGAGACATTTTAGGCCACAGTGCAGGTACTGGGGATAAGGCTGTGAATAAAGTAGTTCAGCCTTTATGGAACTTCAGTTCTAGTGAGAAACGGTAAGAAAACAAGTGAATGCACCGTCTGCCAGGTGACTGGTACTGTGCAGGAGACACAGGAACACAGGGAGTGGGGCCGGGGGAGCGTGGAGGTAGAACGGGAGCCGTTGTTTCTGAATGGCAGGCAGGGAAGGCCCTGCTGGTGAACCGATACTTGAGTCAAGACCTGAAGGAGGTGAGGGAGTGAACCATATGGACGGCTGAGAGATGACAGTTCTGAGGAGAGGGAACAGCCACGTTTAAAGCCCTAATAGACTCTGAAGGTTTCCACTCTCCCTCTGTACATTACCCCATACACTGGATTCTCAGGTCTCCCAGGGGCGATGAGCAAGGGCTCTGGGACTCTGAGGGAAGGGAGAGGACATTTTAAATTTCTTTTTCATCATCCTGCCGTGTCTGGCCTTCTCCCATCAAATCAAAGCCCACGTGTTAATGCATGGCCCAAAATAGCAGTGAGCAAGCCTTTAATGGAATCCACACATGGAGAGATCGCCAAGAATGGTGAGGATGGAAAGGCGTCGGGTATGGGCCAGGGGAGGAGGGGGGAGCACAGCAGAGGGAGCTTCGGCTCCGGCAGCAGACTCACTGAGTGTCTTACGGTAGCACGGCAGCCGGCAGCCTTTTCTCTGCTTTGAAGCAACGGGATGACATCCCGTGAGAGGCACGCATTCCTTTTTCTGTTGAGTGTAAGTGAAAAACAGTGACCTTTTCCAGATAATCTGAGAGTTGCTTTTGTATCGGTTATTCCTGTGTTCAGATCCTAGCTCTACCACTTACTACCTTGTAGCCTCTTTAAGCCTCAGTGCCCGAAAATCTGGGGTGTAATGTAGTCCCATGTCATAGAGCCACAGGGAGAACGAAATGAGATGGTACACGTAAAGGACCCGTCAGAGGGCCTGGTGTGTATTCCAAGCTCATGTTAGCCATGATTATTTCTTACTCATTGTTTTTAAATTGCAAAAGCAAAGTGTGCTCATTGTAAAACATGCAGCAATTCCAAATAAACAAAAGAATGGAAGTTTCCCTCCCATAAGGAAAATCCACTGCTGTTTGGTGAGCAAACCCTGGACCTTTTCTCTGCCTACAAGAACACGCACGTGGATCCTCACAGGCACAATCACATCCAGACACAGGCACACAGAAGCTGCTATTTTGTTGGGGAGGGAAGAGCAGTAATGAGATTGTGCCAGACATATTGTTCCAGAACTTCCTTTTTTGAACTCAACTGGATGTCATGAAGACAGTTCTGTGCTCGAATAAAGTGTTTATTACAATGTTTACTATTTATACACACATGTAATCACATAATTTGCAAAGACTGGTGCATAGCTGTTGTTTGAAGAAACTTGTGATTGAGGCAGTGTGGTACAGCAGACGTAACATTGACCTCAGAGGCAGATGATGTGGAATTGGTCAACAGGCCAGCCAGCTCCCCTGAGCCTCAGCTTTCTCATCTGTAAAATGCAGATTTTGGTCCCAGTTAGGCTCCGAAGGCTCTTCCTACGCTCCTTATTTAAAGGACACTGTGTGAGAAGAAAAATGGAAAATAAGTCTCTGACTTAGGAAATTTGCTCTGCCTGTGGAGCTATCCCGGGAAATAGTGGGCAGAGGGATAATGGGAAATAGTGCCCCAAATCATGAGACCTTGAAGTTGGGGATGGATGAACTTCTAGGTCAGGATCTGCTGGTTCGGGCAACAGAAAATACAAGAAGGGAAACTCCAGAGCAGAGATTATAGACTGCTATTTGCATAACCCGCAGATTGGAGGCATTAATTCATATTTTTTTCCATGTACTTTCCTCCATGTCCTGAGACTACCTCACCAACCCAGGAACCATATTTGATAAAAACTTGTTTGCTGAATCCAAATGGAATCCTCCTTAGCTGTAGGCCTCCAGGGAGATGAGCATCTCTGGGGCTGTGTGGGCCCTGCTGCTGTCTCTTCTCCTTTCTTGGCATTTTCACAAGAGGAAGGCACACTGAACTGCTCAGCCAGCTTCCTGTATGCTCACTGGACGGCATTACTAGTGAGCAGGGTCACTCCATTACAAGGCCACCTTAAAAAGCAAATGAGCAGTTCAACTAGTAGGCACTTTGCCCAGAGGCTCTTTGGCCATATACTTCTGTCTTCCAGTGTCTTAAACACATTCTAGGACTCTCATCTCTCCAGTATACTGTCCTTCCTCAAGTCCAAA